TTATAATAATAATGATAATAATAATAATAATAATAATTATTATAATAATAATAATAATAATAATAATCATAATAATAATACCATCATATCATTATCTTAAGTGTTTTTACAGTGTCGATGATTATATTAAGTTTGTATCTATATTTACATGTATAAGGCAAAAATCTGTGACTTCAAATGTACAATAATGTATGTAATGTAGTCAATAAACTAAACTAAACTATTAATTATAATAATAATAATTACAAGAACTATAATAATAATAATAATAATAATAATAATAATAATTATAATAATAATGATAATAATAATAATAATAATTATAATAATAATAATTATAATAATAATAATAATAATTATAATAATAAAAAGTGTTAACCACAACGAGAACGCAAAGTGGCTGAAAAAGGTAGAAAGGGATAGAGCCACAACAATGAGCTGGCAAAATATCAGTGTCGTGGAAGTCAGATCAGCACTACAGCAGGCCCAAAATTGGAAAGCCCCTGGTATAGACCAGATACCTAATTTCTGGCTGAAACATCTAGTGTCCACACACGAAACAATAACAATGATATATAATAGTTACCTCGATAACGGAACAGATATCCCGAACTGGCTACCAAAGGGTAAAACATACCTCCTTCCAAAGTCTGGAGATAGTAAGGACCCCAAGAATTATAGGCCTATCACCTGTCTGAACACGTTGTACAAATTGTTAACTAAGGTAGTAGCCAGCAGAATATCTGATTATGTAAATGATAATAAGATAATACCAACAGAACAAAAAGGCTGTGGCAAGGGCTCTCTTGGTTGCAAGGATCAGCTACTCCTCTCGAAAGCCATTGTAGAAGATTGTAAAGAGAACAAAAAAAATCTTAACATTGGATGGATTGACTATAGAAAGGCATTCGACAGCGTCCCGCACAGCTGGCTCCTGAAATCTCTGAAGCTTATAGGAACATCTGAGAAGATCATTGATCTGTGTAAGCGATTGATTCCGCTATGGAGTACTACCCTGTTAGTCAGTAATAATGGGGAAGAAATAGAGTTAGGACCCATACAGATAAAAAGAGGTATATATCAAGGTGATACCTTGTCACCTCTTCTGTTTGTGATTGCGATGGTTCCTTTAAGTACGCTACTCAACGAGGCCAACCTAGGTTACCAACTTAAAGGAGCAAATGATTGTCTCTCCCATTTGCTATATATGGATGACCTGAAGCTCATATCTCCCAGCCAAAACAAACTGAAAACGTCTATCAATATTGTAAAAAAATTTAGCGACGACATACAGATGAGCTTCGGTCTCGATAAGTGCGCTGTAGTCACATTCAGGAGAGGAATGCACTATGACTCTGCTAATATAATGGTTGATGAAGGAGAGTCGATCAAATCACTAGAGCATGGCGGAGTGTACAAGTACCTGGGAATTAAAGAAGGCTCACACATCACCCACGATTCACTGAAAGTTGACATTAGACATGAGTATATAACGAGAGTACGTAAAATTCTGCAAACTCAACTCACGTCTAGAAACAAGATAACAGCAATTGGAGCTCTTGCCATACCAATCATGCAGTACAGCTTTGGTATAATCAATTGGACATTGGATGACATAAGACAAATGGATCGCAAAACAAGAAAACTAATGACAACACATAATATCCTTCATCCCAAAGCAGACATCGACAGATTATACGTGCCACGAAAGAAAGGGGGACGAGGACTAAAGCAAATAGAAGAAACGTACAACAATACTATCTTCTCAATAGGGCAATATATTCAAACTAGATCTGAGCAAGACCGCCTACTACAGATGTTACTAGCACATGACAATAGGAAACCAACAAATAGATCTATTGTAAAGCGTAGTAATAAGATCAAATTAGAAGCTGCGGAAACCGGACATACGGTCGAGCGAGGTAACAGGTCCATCAAACTGTACTTGAAGCAATGTGTCGAAGAGAAATGGCGGAGTAAGCCTCTACACGGACAGCATATCCGTCAAATGGAGGAGCTTCCGGTTGACTTAAAACTGTCATTTGGATGGTTACAATACGGAGATTTAAAAGGGGAAACCGAAAGCTTGCTGGTGGCAGCACAAGACCAAGCCTTGAAAACGCGTTACATTGAGCAAGCAATACACAAGACGAGGAATGACGGTAAATGCAGATTGTGTCACATTCATAATGAAACTGTTGAACATATAATATCTGCATGTCCAATACTAGCGCCAAAAGAATATACTGACAGGCACAATAATGTCTGCGCAGCCATCCATCTAGAAGCGTCTCGCCACCTTGGTTGTCCAATAAAATCGACGAAATGGTATGAGCATCACCCCGACAGGATAACACGAAGTGAAGATGGTAGTATCACAATAATGTATGACCATCCCGTTATCACGGATAGAGAAATAAAAGCAAACAGACCAGATATTGTTATAAAAACCACCGAAATATGCTATATAATTGATATATCGGTACCTGCAGATAGACATGTCATACAAAAGGAGGCTGAAAAGCAACTAAAATACAAATCATTACTCATAGAAGTGCAAAGAATGTGGCATACAAAGGCAGTTGTTATTCCCGTAGTGATTGGTTCAACTGGATATGTCACTCGCAACATCCTAGATAACCTAAAAAGGATACCAGGAGATCATAATTTCTATCAGTTACAGAAGATCGCCTTATTAGGCACATCGCACATAATTAGGAAAGTTATAACATAGCCAGCTCATAAACTGCAATGATCTGTACCCCTCAGGTCCTCGGCGAGGACCCGGTGTAGAGGTCAAACCGTTCCATATAGGATACCGCTACTAATAGAAAACGGTCCTGTAGCGTGAAAAAAAAAAGATAATAATAATAATAATTATAATTATAATAATAATAATAATAATAATAATAATCAATAATAATACTTCGGTCCTTACCTACGCGTTTGGCATACTGAACTGGACGGATACAGAACTGAACGCACTTAATGTGAAAACCAGAAAAGAATTTCGTAAACACCGGGGACACCACCCACATAGTTCCATAGAGCGGTTCCATCTACCACGAAGTGAGGGCGATAGAGGAATACCTTGCATACCTACACTACACCACCGCCGAGTGGACAATCTACGCCAGTACTTCCTCCAAAAAGCCACATCCAGCAGAATGCATCAAGCAATAACACAGACGGATAAAAAGTTGACACCACTAAACCTTTCAGAAACATCTTTCAACCCTGAGGCAAAGATAACCCCAATGCAGGATCTGGTTTGCCAATGGAAAGCCAAACCACTACATGGTCGGTATAGGAGCCGCATAGAAGACAACGCCATTGACACAAAGGCTTCCCAAGGATGGTTGTAGTCAGGTAATCTGTTCCTGGAGACGGAGGGCTTCATAGCCTCCATCCAGGATCAGGTAGTCCCAACAAAGTTGTACCGAAAGCGTATAATGCATGAGAACGTTGAAGATATCAGATGCCGCATATGTGGGGAAAAAGATGAGCACATAGATCATATTGTAGCAGGCTGCTCTCCCTTAGCTCCTAAACAATATCTTGAAAGACACAATGATGTGGCCAAAATACTTTATCAAGCTTTGGCTAAAAAGCATCTAGGAGAAACTGGTACACAGCCCTACTATAAATACACGCCGCCACCTGTGATAGAAACGGAGACCTCTAGGCTGTACTGGAATCGTAAAATCATAACTGACAGGCCCATCCCCAACAATATTCCTGACATAGTGCTCACACTAAAAGAAGAAAGAACGACGTTTATAATAGACATAGCTGTGCATCTTCCTACTAATATCCAAACCACCCATGCGGAAAAGATCAATAAGTATTTGCCACTCTCCGACGAAATAAAACGCATGTGGGAAATGGGCAATGTGTCTGTAATACCAGTTATCATAGGAGCTACTGGAGAGATACCAAGGAAACTACACAAGAGTCTGGAAAAGCTACAGCTCCATCCAAAAATATACTTGCAGTTGCAAAAAGCTGCACTGCTGGGAACATGTAGGACAGTACGTAAGGTTTTAGGAGATGAGAACCGGATACGGTGAAAAAACCGCTGCAGATCTATTTCCTTACTTTGGCGGTTAGCCTGAGGGAAATATTAATACCTTCGACAGAGGAGTAAAATAGTATAAAATAATAATCATAATAATAATACCATCATATCATTATCTTACCGTTGCTTTCACATGCGTACATATTACGTTGGCTCTCATTAGCTCTTAAAGCTATGTCTAGTATTCTTTTGCCTCTGGAGCTCATTTTACTTGCCACTTAATATTATCAGATAATATTATTATAAAACTTAACCTCACTAATCACCATGCGTGTTATTAGATTATAACCGCTTGTTAGTGGATGAAGGTGGTATGTAACATGCTTCTTTTACTATCGAATGGAAGATGGCGGTATGTGTACATATCGGCCACATACCCCCTTCGTCCATTGTCGAACTGCATTTCTGATGATACATACCTCCTTCATCAACTAATATATCTCTTATTAAGCACGTTATATATTCTGGACAAGTGTAGCAAGATAGATTGACTCATACCACCTTCATTCATAATAAAACCCAGACTTTGGGAAAAATGTCACATACCGCCTTCTTCCACTTAGCTCTTCAATTATATTCTCGCCGCAATTCATGTCAGGAAACCACAAACCACTGCGTGTTCCCATATTGACGTTGGACAAGCTTCAAATGTCATGTTTATGTATATTGAGATGGAGGTCTATCAAAAAAATAAAATCGATTGTTTCGACTTAACCCTTTTGGTACGGCTTGTCACTGATCATTTTTATTCCTAAGGCCTGAGACTTTTACATTGGTTATTGGCCTGCCGTCGGAAATATCCGTCACCTAAGAAAACTACCCACATTTTATGAAATAATATGAGCAAGTTATATTAAAACAATTATTTTATTAGATAAAGTTACAGAAAACATAAACACATTAAACATTAGAACATTAAACATTAAAAAGTAGCCTCTATGTGATATATTTTGAAGCAAGGGACCACGCATAATCCAACGTCACATTCTGGGCACATATAGCTGGACTCTTTTCTTTTTGCTTGCTTCTGCTTTGTATGGGAACAAACCCAACATCTTCTGGATCCAACCTTAGTACTGCCTGGTTTTCGTGGAACTGACACCGGAAAGTGTCTATTCTGAAGCCTGGCATTGCCCAAATCGCAATGTATAGATTTTACTATGCCATACCTGCAAAAAAAAAGCATTTAGCAAATATGATCGAAAACTACAAAGAAATCTTTACCTTTCTATAAGTTGAGCAATAACCGCTAGATGAAAATTGGCGAATGAAGTCTTCTTAGTATGTCTTGTGGAAAACATTGCATGTGCGTTTAGCAATGTTATGTCAATCGAATGGAAAAATAACTTCTTATACCATTTCAGACATTTTCGAGTGCAATCTACGCTACTCAGCATCATATCTGATCTGTCGACAGCCCCCATTTGACGGTTGTATTCCAGAACACATAACGGCTTTATTACATTTTCATATGTAGATCGATTTATTTTGGGCAAAGTAACCATTCCTTTTTCATGCATACTGGTCAGCATGACAACATCCCGCCGATCTTTCCATTTTATTGCCAATAAATTTTCACTACTTCTCCAGTCAGTATCTCCTTGTTTTAATTTTTTATCAAATACTGGCATATGTTTCCTATTTTGCCTTACAGTTCCACAGGAGTTTGTTTTATGTTGTAACAAAAAAGTTGAAAGTGTAGGGCTGGTGTAAAAATTATCCGTATAAAGAGAATGTCCCTTGTTGAGGTATGGCTCTAAAAGTTTTGCAACAACGGCCGCTGTAGTACCAAGATTATTCTTGTCTTCTGCTTTTATATTAGTGTCTTTTCCACAATATATTATAAAGTCTAAGACAATTCCTGTTTCGCAATCACACAACACGTAGAGTTTAATTCCAAAACGATGTTTCTTGGTCTTGATATACTGTTTAAAACTGAGTCTTCCTTTAAAAAGAATCATACTCTCATCTATAACCAAATTTTGAAATGGATAGAATTGAGACTGGAAATTTTCTTTCAATATATTTAGCACGTTCTCAACTTTGAACAATCTATTACCAGGTGGAGCGATTTCATTATTGGAGAAATGCAAATATCTTTGTAATTGAAAATACCTGTCTCTTAACCAGTGGCGTAGCCTGGGTCATTGCCGCCCGGGGCGGAATCATAATTTGCCGCCCCTTTGACGTCAAAAAATAATCATGTTGGTGAAGGTGAAAAAAAAATAACGTAATCATCTGGAAGAACAGTGCGAAAAAATATTTATTTCCAAACCATATAATATACAGGTCACGTGTAAACTGTGAACGTGAAAAGTATACTGTTGTAAACTATAAAACTAAAATTCTACTTTTCTGGCCTTACGCGCAGCAAAATCATTAATAACTTCTTCAAAATTAATTTTGTCCGTCACGCTTTGTTCTATTGACAAAATGGCCAAATCACTCAATCTTATTGAGCTCATGGTGGACCGCAAGTAATTTTTTATTAATTTCAGCTTCGAGAAGCTACGTTCACAAGAAGCTACACTGATAGCTATAGTTAAAAAAATTCGAAGCATAATCACGATATTTGAGAAAATTGCGTAATCGCTCCCTCTCGATTTCGATTTCGTTAACATCAATGTCACAGTGCTCATTTCCCAAGTTACACTTATATTCCGGGTTAAGTAAGTTCGTCGGTATTAGAAAATTATACTTGATATCTAACTCGTTTAGCTGTTGAAATCTTGTCTTAATTTCTTGTATAATTCTGTCCACCGATTCGAACATTTCTTGCCGTAACCGATTCTCATAAGTTAAACCAGCATCTGCAATGCTCTCGCCAGCCATATTTTTTATCTTTCTTGATCGTCGAGGAGTTATTTCGATGCCAAGATCTTCGCATATATTTTTAGCATAATCAAGTGCATCATTGACGAGAACATCTCGATTTTCTACTAAAAACGATTCTAAAGCGTGAATTTTCATAGCACATTGGTGCACGTTCAGTCCTTTCGTCTGGAGATATAATTGTGCATCATTTACTTCCCGAAGAACACGACTCCAAGGAAGGCTAAAAATGATAGTGACTGCAGAGCAGTAAGCAATAAACCAGCGTCTGATCTTGTTCCGGTATTTTCCGCTATGTTTCCTGAAAGTGATTCCAACACTTCAAGGATCTCACTATAATGGGTCTTCATGACAGCTACGGCTTCATATCTAGAGCTCCATCGTGTTTCAATTAAGCGCTTGACTCCTTTACCTGTAACGTCGGTAAGAGCTTTCCAGCGGTGAGTAGAGGATGAAAAGTAATTGAAAACCCTCTCCATAATACCAAAAAACGTCACTGAGTCCACTGCGATTGATGCTGCCTGTACTCCCACCAGATTTAATGAATGATTAGTGCATGCAACAAACTGAGCATTTTGGTTAACTGCCTTGATACGCATTTGTACACCAGAATGTTTTCCCGACATGACAGCTGCATTATCATATGCTTGTCCACGGCAATTTTGGATATCTAGTCCGTCGCTTTCAATCTTGTCCAAAATCATTTTAGTTATATCCTCAGCGTTTTTGCCTTCAGTTTCAAGGAAGTCAATGAATGATTCTATCACTTGCACCTTGGTACCGTCGAGTTTCACATAACGGAGTATTTGGCTCGTCTGGTCCTTGTGGGAGAAGTCTGGCGTACTGTCGAACACAATAGTGAAATACTTGGCTTCCTTCACTTCAGCAAGTATCTTTTTTCGAACATAATTTCCTAAACAATGAATGAATTCATTTTGAATCTCAGGTGATAGGTAAGATACACTAGCTTTCTTCTGCAGTTTCAGCTTTGTAAGGTGTTCACAAAGAACCGGGTCGTACTTGCCAAGAAGATGAACGAGTCCTAGAAAGTTGCCTCTATTTTCAGCGTCATTTTCTTTCATGATTTCTCTATGACCTCGCAAGGCCAGATTTTGTTTAGCAAGAAATCTGATAATATCCAGTATCCTGACCAGTACTAGTCTCAGCTTCTGCTCTTCTTTAACAATCATATTTTGTTCTTGCTTGTCGATCGTTGCACCAACTTGAAGTCTTACCTCCAAAGATTTCCATTTATTGAAGTTGTCATTATGTGCTGAACTAGATTCATGTTCTAAAACTTTGGGATTTAGTTTCCACCACTTTTTGAAACCATTAATGCTGTTGAATCCAGCTTTATCGACGACCCCAAACAAACGGCAGCAGAAACAGAACAATGATTCCTTAACTAAGGAATAGGCCATCCATGTTCTCAGAATCTTTTCGCCATTTGGTAGAGTTCGGAAAAACCAATCACGGCTTAATTTTCTTGCCACTCCTTTGAGCCCCTTGGTAGATTCTACAGGCCCTGGCCTAATCACTTCAGCAAACTTACAGTCAAGGTTCTGTACTGCTTTGTAGCCTCGAGTCACAAGTAATGTTCGAAGATTATCGGTAATGGAAATAGGCCAAGTTCCAATATCTTTGTAATCGCTGATAGATCCATCCTGAATGTCAAGAGTATCGATCACTTCATAGCTTTCGTCTTCCACCAACAGTTTCAATTGTTCACCTACTACCGCTGGTTCATTAGGCAAATCTTCAAATTCGGTAAGTCCGCCACTAGAAGACGAAACAGCTTTTTGATTTGGAGTGGCACTAGTACTAGCTTCTCTATCAACTTCAGATTCAGCTGTTTCGGTAGTCGAGTCAAAATACTTGAGTAAAAATCCCTTATTTTTCTTATTTTCTTCCTCTCGGGCTTTTTTTTGCTTCCTGTAAAAATCACCGCTAGGCTTATGCCTCTTCATGATCTGAAAGTAACATTGATTTAGCTCGTAAGTTTTTAGGCCAATATAGGGGCAGCAAAATTTGAACCTATAGGCAGGTAAGTAATGGCACGGGAAGGGGTATTAACTAATCAGTTAAAAAATTATTATTTTTTTTAACTATCAATATTTCGTGCTAAAACAGGTAATCTATTTATATTATTTTACATGAACTCGATCACTAAAATTTAAATACGTAATGCAACGAAACATTGGCTTTCGAAAAAGCGCGCATAATCTCCCAATCTCCTGCGTTCACATATAATGTGTTATATTTTCCGTGAGATCTACGATAAAAAGCATACTAAAACTTACTTACTGTTAAAACGGCAGCTTAGCGGGATACAAAACCGCGAAATACTGTTACGAATTCCCCAAAAATTCACTGGCACTGTCAATTCGACACTCAAGTCGCTTTGTTTTTTGTTAATTGAACAAAATGAAGTCAAGGGAAGGGCGCGCGGCGACGCGACGCGTGGGTGCTCCTAGAATACGTGTGGGACAGAGACAGGCAATATGCGCGCGCAAGACGGGGCGAATAAGTTACTGGTATTGGGAGGAAGGTACCAGGGTTGCCAGATGTGGTGATTTTTCACCAGATCTGGTAGTTTTTCATATGCTCGACAAAATATTTTTTCTTCATGTAGCACGGATCGGCGGCGGTTCCCTCTCAAACGGAGTCTACAGCAGGCTCGTACCACGTGAAGGGTACAAAAAGGGTCAATTTTGCCGCCCTACTATTGGTGGCGCCCGGGGCGGTCCGCCCCCCCGCCCCCCTCCTCGCTACGCCACTGCTCTTGACATATGTTTGCTAAATGCAGGTGAAAGCAGTAAGTGGTTTTGGGACCAATATTCCTTTAAGTTCACTTTTTTATTGCGAGGCATAAGCAACGTCAAAGCCAGAAAAACGTAAAATTCGGAACGTTCTAAATGCTTCCAGTTTTTTGCATTTTGTTGGCGTGCATAATTATTTGTTTCATCCAAAATAACATCCACTATGTTTTCTGTGAACAAACTAAGAAAATAGTCGACTTCCTTTGAGTTTTCGTCGAGGTTTTGGTCTTTTACACCGCTATTGGTCGTGTCAAATTCGTGTATTTTCGGTAGAAACTCATTTTTTGTCCAAATTATTTCCAGAACTGTTTGGTGAGTAATATTATCTTCAACGTTTCCTACCTCTTCCTGCTGATTTTCTTGTTCATTTTCCGGTTCCAATTCATCCAGATCGCTCTCAGAGTCCTCAGAAGATGGACAATATTCGCTTCCGCTATCGAGAAAGGGGTCTTCTTCACTAACGTCAGACAAGTAAATATCTTCATCTACCAGACTTAAAATACTATTGACTTCCTCCTCAGTTAAACCACAATATCCCCTACAATCTACTTTACGCCTTTTCGGCCGCTTAGTGCCCTGAGACGAACTGGCCTCCTCGTTTGACATGATCGAACGAACTGACGCTTCTGAAGCTTACGGTACATGGCATGCTACCATGCTCGACTGCCGTCGGATATTTCCGACATTGACGGGTTATTCCGACAGCAGGCCATCCACAATGCGTTATACGTCGGATAAAGTCGTCGGCAGTCTCTCGGTGAATGTAAGTTTTCAAAAGAGTCGGAAATAAACGGCACAAGTGTCATTAAACAAAATAACCTTGAACGGATATATCCGTCACCAGGCCGCAGGGCCATATTGCTTCCTGTCGGGTATATCCGGCAACCGTCCCTCAGTTATTCCAAGATAAATCAGGAGCAAGTTCTATCTAGAATTGAAGGACTTTTTATAGTGATAGTGTGTGTTGAAGCAAATCTATTTATTTTATGTTTTATTACCAAATTTTCTGGGGTGAGTTTGTATAACTGCTGTTCAGGCAAATTTATTTATGAATAAAGAAACCTTTCTATCTTACGCATGATTTGTTTTAATATTTGGGCGTCAAAGCCAAAACCTTGTGCATTTATATTTAATTTGAAATGATCAGGTTTGCGATTAAAAATATACTTGATGATGAATTATATATACACCTTAGGAAAAACCATTGTTATACATGGGAAATCATTTCTTGGCAACAGCGCATCGGCTCGTCTACTTTCATCGCTATTCGTACATATTTCCTACCGTTAATCGCAGACCTGTATCACGAATGGGAATAATAGGCAGATACGCTGTGTTGCCAATTTGAGTAGAGCTTCCCGAATTGTGGGGAATTTAGAGTTAAGTGTTGATTCATTCAAGCTTTTAATCAGCATGGCCTAGACGTTAGAACTTCATAAAGATAACATTGAAGCTGAATGCTGCTGGAGTATAGTGTTTCGAATATTCAAAGCGGAGCGGGACACTATACTCGTTCAA